CACACCATCAGATTTTTTTTATTCACAATTCAAACGGCGGCGCGTGCCTTCACGCCCGCAAACCGAACTTTGACAAAATTGTCGAGCTTTGTGAAGTTTTAACAATTGAGGGTTGCGACACACCCAATGACAAATTTTACGATCGTTCGCAGACTTGGGACCGGGAAACCGGTCAGTTACTTCTTTTAACGTTCGTCCGAGACTTTTCTGTTTCAAGTAAAAAACGCAATAATGTCCACACACGGTCGTGTCGTCGCCTTGAAGAATCTTGCTGCTGTACTCGTATCCCGGATTCAGATGATTCTGCCACGCTCTCACGTACGAGGTCGGGGATTTTCCGTAGCTGTCGAAGAATTCGTCTTGCCCGTCTTTCCCGTAATAGATGGCCATCCAATGCGTTCCGGGTYKRTGAGACGGRTCGGAATTGACAATCAATCCACTCGGACGAGGGACGTCCTGGAGCAGGGGAAGTTCGTCGGCTGCAAAGACTCCCAAAAATCGGTTTCTTAGATGAGGGTCTTGCGCCACCAACCATCGCAACTGTCTGCTGTCGAGTCCTCCTTTTCTTGTCATCTTTTTAGTAATTGTTTTTCATGGACACCACTTTGTTGGGGTCAATGTACAATTCATTCTCGAATTCCGGCAACAGCAACAACGTCAGATTGGATCCRAGATTGGYTGAGAATTCCAAATGCAAGTCTAGAGTRCCYCTGTTTCTCTTGTARGTGTAATTCTTGGCATCTTTTCCATCYGGSGTGAARTTGAACCGCATCAAGGCAAACCCATTGYTGTAGTCTTYTCTTTTTATACCTGGTGTAAATCCACGRTGCAAATTTCCACYCGATTCAAACAACGTGTGGTAYGCTTCCAACTTGTCGGGGGACAAGATTTCCAGACGAGCAATGGGRCGTTCCATGCCATTCACCAGCCAACGCACACTCTTCAAACTGTCCAACACAAACTGATAGGGGGTTTTGTTGTAGGCTCCATTGAATTGGGTCGATTTCACCATACCCATGGTCACAATGTCGGGGACGGCTTGCTGGAAAATGTCGTTGAACGTGAAAGATTGTTGACCACTTTCCAGAGTGTGACGGATGGGTTTGGTGGTACGGATGGGATAGATGGCHGTCAGCTTTTTTTCACCTAGATTTTTCTSCAYTTCCAAGGTCGTGGCATAGGAACACTTGACGTGACGGACCAGGAATACAGCTTTGGTGATTTGAAACTTGTAGGTAGAACCCGAAGCTGCCATCACCACCAAGGCATTGTCATTGTAGTCGATCTGRATGTCYAKRYTCACTCCTGGAATCAAGAAACGTCCAGATTGAAAGATGTCCACGACGGGTTGGACCAAAAAGGTGGCTTCTCTACTGGCTTGATCTGATAACCCCATTTTCGTGTAGAACAGATCGGTGCGTTTGAGGAACCCTGCGTTGTAGGCTGCGTTGTTCGCAGGTAGGGGAGTGTCGTTGACAGAAGCAGTCTTGATGGTGTTCATCTTGGCATCCCCAGGGTCGTCGGTGTACCATCCTTCGCTGGCCAAGAAGCTCTCTTTTTGTTCAGGTGTAAAATTCAACAGATTTTGCACGTAAGCTTTCATGTGGTACAGGTCGGTAGGTTCACCTGTAGACGTATTGTTCAATTTCACGTCGAATCTCTTGACGACCGAGTGTCCCACGTTGTTGATGATCCCCACATCCAATTTACTGTCTGGAATACTCGTACCATCTGCTTGCAATAGCTTCAGACCCAGTTCCAGATAGCACTGTCCCATATCGATAAAGTTAGTGCTGGCGGGAATGAAGAACTGTGTCGGAAGGAACGTGGCTTGCGACGGATAGTACTTTTGCCAGTATCCATCGTCGATGGAGGTTTCCGTGGGGAGAGAACTCCACAAATCGGCCACTTGACTTTTTTTCACGGCAATCGGAGTAGGTTTGCTCATGGTTCGTCAAACACGTCGCGTAGAGGKGGTCTTTTGCGTCGTCTTCTCTTGGTCTTACCTGGACCTGACTGGGAAGAGGTGGAGCGAGCGGACTTCCTTTTATGGGAAACGGAGGGAGTGACTCCAGAGTAGGGTCGTTGGCGTCGTCGAGCAGGGGGACGTTGCGGAATCTCGTCCAGAACGTCTTGAGCTACCTGTCCTGCCACATCGCTTGCCGATTGTTTGGCCTGTTCTACGGTAGCTTGAGCAGCTTGAACCACTTTGTTGCGCACACCGCGCATCATGCCTCCGAATCCACCCATGACTGAATGGTTTCCGAGTCGGGTCTCTCCTTTTTATGCTCCTTGTCGTTTACGAAGATGAAAGGTAGCCACGACCAAACTCTTGTCACTGTCGTCAAAGACCGTTTCAGAATGTCGGTCACGCACGTAGATGGACACTTCGTTGAACGACGACAAACGTATCGGAATGTACATCGGATTTTTGAATTCGTACGATTGACGTCTGTTGTCCTCGTGTCCCAACATCGGAACCACCCCCAAGAGCGGTGCGTTGGTATTTCCCACAAAGGAATAGTTCACCAGATCCGAGTAGACGTACAGTCCGCTGGTTGACGAATCTTCTTGTCCCCAGTGAATGTCGTTCCCTTCCACAGATCGGGTGATGAGGATGTTCGTGATGGGTTGATGAGAATCCCTGACTGTGTCCCATTTCGCGATGTTCATGATGTACATATCCGCATCTTTGAGGCTATGAGAAGTAGACGTCTTCTCAAATGTGGCTTTCAGGAACTTGTCTCCCGCCAATCCCAATCGGTCCAGGATTTTTTTGGACACCAGGGGCGTGTAGTGGGTATTGAGTGGCATTCTCTCGTGGAACGTGGTGGACATGTGGATCTTTTGACCTTCTCTCCACACCCTCAGGTTAGGAAACCACGTAAGATTGACTGCACTGGACGACGTGTGAGCCCGCACGTAGTGACTACCTTTCTTCACGTAGGGATTGCTCCTATGGTCGTCGTCATAATTGAATCGCGACAACAACCCATGGGTTTCGGTTTTGATGTCGTAATACTTGAAGGTAGGATCTCGTTCATCGAACGAGTAAGAGGTCATCATCAACCGGACCTCGGAAACGCCACCGTGACCCGATCGAATCTCGAACCCAAATTCCACCAAGGGGTGATGGTGATCTCGTGGACAGAGTCCATTGAGAGCTTTCAACAATCCTGTGAGCGTGTAAAATCCCGACGGAATTTCCTTGGTGTATGAGGCAAGCTCGGTATCGTCTCCACCGATTGATTCGTACATTTTCTTGAAAGTAATCTTGTTGTATTTGTTGTCCACGTAGGCCCCTTTCTCGATTCCCGGGATGTAGTGTATAAGACAATCTTGAAACTTCTTGTTGACTTCGCTGATCAGATCGTCTGGGTGATCGAACTTTTTTTTTTCCAGATAATCGACCCAATACGCCGTCACTTTGTGTTTCCTCGCGTCCTCAGACCCCACTCCTACACCAATCTTATCGGAAGAAAGATCTTTGGAAGCGACTCGAGGTGGTGTGGGAAACGAGAGAAACGTCAAACCGGCTTCCCACTCGCCGGGGTCGTAATTGAGTCTTCCTGGCAACACCACGGTATACGTGTTGGCTGTATTGTCGGGGTAGTTCTTCTTGGAAGCGTTGCTGGGTAGTACCAAATAGCGTTCGTCCATGCTTAGGCGTTGATGACGTCGGAAATGAAGCGTGATCGTGACCACGGGTTCCAGCACGGCTTGAGAGAATCGAGATTCTGCCGATGAATGAGTGACGTCCACTGTCGCTATCAAAGGGGCTTCTACGTCTCCCACGACCATCCACCGGATCACATCTGCATACACAAAGAAGACTTGACTCGGTACGTCGAGAGGGAGAGGTGGAGCAATCATCGATGTCAAGGCGACCTCCCATCCCTCATGTTCTTTAAAATTGAGAGGGTGAACCAGAGGCACTTCAAAATCCCACGGATAATTTTTCTCTTCTCTACCAGGATTGGGTACGTTGCTGGGCAAAACCACCACAAATGACTCGTTGTCGGGAAGACTCATCCTTGRACGTCACGAGCAGGGATCCAACTGTTATACTTGTCCGGCCATCCACGCCACTTCACGAGCACTTCGGGTTCGCGTCCTTTACGGGTTCGACGTTTCAAGATCGATTCGATGCGGAACAGGTCGCTGGCTTCGACGGTRACGGGYTGCAATTCCTGTTCGTAAAACGATCCCTCGATGGGAGATCCGTCCCACTCTTGAATCTTGTACAAGGGTGGCGTGCCGGGTACGCGTCTCGAGATCACAAAGACTTCTTCGGTCCAGCCAGGTGTGTAGCCCTTTTTAAACGTTTCAGCCTTCTTGCTCAATCGGACGCGATCTCCCGGTTTGAATCGGTAACGTACTGGTTTTTTCTCCGTCTTGCCGTACAGAGTGTGCCACACTTCTTGCGCGTTGTCGTGCGTCACCGAATCGGGACTGCGTCGGATAGATCGATGGTACGCTGCGTTGTAACCTTTCACAAAATCGTCCAAGACGTCCACGTACCTATTCGTGTTCCGGGCTGTGAAGTAACGCCACATGCGCTCTTTGAAGGTGCGAATGAACCGTTCGACGATCTGGGCTTTGGTGTCCCCATATACCACGAAATGACGAATGCCTCGTTGTTCCARCAGCGATTTCAAAGTGCGATTCAAAAATTCCGTTCCTTCGTCCGTCTGCAAGACGTCCGGTTCACGACCTTCTTCTTCAAAAATGTCTCGGAAGGCWGCRGTGACTTCCTGGGCGTTCTTCTTGCGGATGGGACGGACCCACGCGTACCGCGACAACACGTCCACCACGATAAGCAAATACTCCACYCCGTCGTTGTCCTCTCGCAATTTTTTCACGTCGGCCAAATCCGCTTGCCATTGCTGATCGAGTCCGTCCACCATGACGCGACGTCGCGGGAACCGTCGCTGAACGGGTTTGTGCAACGTGTAGCCCGGCTGCGTTCTGAGCCACTGACGAACCTGCCACGGCTCGATTCCTTTTTTTCGTGCTTGACGTTTCAGTTGCTGGTATCCGGCAAATCCTCCCGGTTGCTTGGGATCGTAAAACGATCGATGCAACAGTTCAGGAATGTTCTTCTTTTTCGGTTTCGTCCATCGGGTCTTCTTCTTTCGTTTCGTCTTCTTCTTGTTTGGGGGGCGGAGGAGAGTCGACATTGTCGTCAATGACCACTACCGTTCCACCGCAACACGCAATCCAACACCGAAATCGTTTACACAAGTCAGAGATGCGCCCCGTAGGAGGCATTTTTGTGAGACTGAGGTCGTGGAGGATCCTCTATATACCCGTAAGGCACCGTCTTCATTCCGCGACGAATGCGTTTGTCGTACACGACTTGGAAGACTTTTTCCAACTCGACCGTTTTCAGTTGACGTCGGAGCGGATCTCGACGAATGTGGTGGGGTAAGGTGACGCAAATCTCCGTTTCCACACCATGCACCAAGGACACCATGGATTCGAAATTGACCTTTTCAGACGAYGTCAGATTCAAGGGAATTCCCTTGCACTTGATGTCGGTGTGACCTTGACGAGTGCGGTAACCGTAACTCTTGGGCCCCGTTGACACGAACGTCTGGATAGAATCCCCAGGTGATAATTCCGACGTCAAGTCTCCCAAGTAATCCCCCAAAGGCAGTGGTGTGTCTCCTGAACGAGTGACGTAGATCAGAGAATCGGTGTCAAAGTACAAGGCACGTTCTTGCACTCGCTCCAACATGTCGTACAACCGCAACCGGGCAAACGAAGTGACGAAATCAGCATGCACCACGCTGGCAAACGGGCTGGACCGAATGAACTCGTCTTTCTTGTCGTACTGCAGTTGCACCAAATTGTCGGTGATCAACAGAAGATGTTTGACGTCCACTTGACCTCCAAACATCAATTCGGCAAATCGCTTCGGAGAGTCCACGTACTCGGTAGAGGGGAGAAACGGATTCTGACCAAATTTTCCCCACAGACTGTTCAAGAACAGTTTGGCAAGAGCTCGCAATCCGGGATTGACTCGAATGTGATCTTCGCGAAGACGAATTCCCTCGTGGGCTTCGTAGTCGTCCAGATAGCATTGACGATCTTCGGGAGTCTTGCACCAGGACGGCCAYCCGGACGCTTCTTGTTTCAATTGCAAATACGTCTGCACGTACTTTCCAAACAGGGTCGTCGACGTTTGGGGGTAATGCCAGATCTCGTAGACGTCGAGAATCTTGTAGCCGAGCTGGAGAGCTTTCTTCAATTCGGGAGTGGTCCACACACCGACCAGGGCACGCTCTTTGGAATTGTGACGACACTTGGACGTCTGATTCAGCTTTTCGGCACACGTTCGGCACAACACAAACATCAGCTTGCCGTTCAAGTGAATGGGAAGCACGGGRAGGTACAGATCTCGAGGTGGTAGCACTTTGACTTTGTTCAATCCGTAGTAATCTTCCACGTTGAGAAGAGAAAAGTCTACGGACCGGAGGACGATCTCGGGGTGACCCACGGGATAGGCTCCACCCTGACGCATCACCGACGGGTACAGCGACGTAAAATCCACGTAATGGATGGTCTCGTCGTCTTGGGCTTCGTAGTACAATTGGAGAGCATTGGTACGACCTCCAAACAATCCGTCACGAGGTTCCAACGGGTCCGAGTACGACACCCAATCGGGAATGGTGGGTGGAGGATCGAGCGCGTCCCACGTGTGTTCCCACATCTCCACCACGCGGTAACCGGCGGAACGCAACACCGTCGTGCGACGCTGGGTGTGATAGAACTTCTGACTGAACTCGCCGCGATCCCCATTCGATTCGGGAAAGGCCAAATGTCCAGGAAAACACACGGGGCATCCGTGAAAGTAACATCCATGGAATTGGTACACGGTTTGAGTGGGGGCATCGTATCCGTCGACGGGGGCTCCCATCACCACTTTTTCGCCTTGGGGAGACAAGCACGACTGGAGACGGAGGTCGCGATCCCGGACTTGCAACCAATACAACCATCGTTTGGCTTTACGCGATTGTTGGACAAGACCCCGGTATCCTTCGCGAGGCACGATTCCAATCGAGTCTTTGGGCATGAAATTTCTCCGGTACGCTCGCATGCAGGACGAAGCTAGCGTGATGCACTCGTGAAACGGATCAAATCCGGCCGTCTCCAGGAAGATACGACGCGCTTCCAACACACCTCGTTTCAACAGCTCCACGTCTTTCTCGCAGTAGTACTCCAACTCTTTCTGAAAATCGAACGTTTT